TGTTTGGAATTGAATGAATAAGCAAATACAAATATCAGTGAACTAGCTTACGTGCACCTCAACTAATTCCACGGTTACGTGCTACCTGCTACAAGTTCTTCGGGATTCATTTTCCCGATTTCGTTCCATAAAAAACGAAATAACAACAACATACTCAGTATAATAAAAACTAAGGAAATTGTCAAATTTTGTACAAACTCTTGAATAAGAGCAACATAAATGGCTAATAGCAACCTTAGCTTGTATATCCTAGGCATTGTACAACTCCTCGAGAATTGCTCGATGAGTGAAAACTACATGCGATATGTTTGTTGAAGTGTGTGACCATCTCGTCTAAATGCTTAAGCTGTTAGAAGAAGCTGACTTGTATTTATGTTTTCAACAATACTGACCTCTGATACTTACAGAGGAAGATAGGGAAAACCTTGTCAACAACCTTGAGGTCTGTAGTATTTCGGAGGCATAGATGGACATCTTTCATTCATATGGGGATACAGATCCATACTGTTGTATCCAGGTAGTTCCATACGGTACTTTCCTCGAATTTGACAGAAAGGAAGCTTCACAGTGTCATCGGCATTGCACCATTTTGGCAACCGGCTTGAATTGTTTTCAAAAAGGTTGAGAGTATAAGCATCTCTTATCTGCAGTTCCAACAATAAACGACATCAATTCCTGAAACTCTAGAACTGGAGTCCGACATAGAAAGATAACTTTGTTAGAAGAGACATACATGCTAAACAGAAAAGGCGAAAAGGCAGTTTCAGATTCATCAAGTACATGACCGAGGCAAATGCCGAAGAACCAACCTAATCAGGAAACAGAGAATGCTTCAAAAGCTATCGGACAAACTCACCGTGAATTCTGTAACCTGAATTGAGTTTGCAAATTCACCAAACAGTCCTCCTTCCTTGTACATTTCAAGAATAAAAGCAACACATGATGCTGACTTGCCATCGCTATAAACCCAATCATCTTGCTCTGGAATAGCCAACAATTTGGCGAAAGAGGATCCACGTTTTTCAACTTCAACAAGTATATCGGGAAGACTAAGGTTCTGCGTGGAACAAAATGGAACAGCATTCAATATTGAATTTTATGTCAATCTTTGTAATTACGGAATCTGATCCGCTTTAAAAAGCTATTAAATGAGAAACATATTATACCAAACAGCTGCTTCAAGAGTATTTTGTCCACTAATTGCCTCAACTTAAAGAGGCATTTCATGAAAGTGACTAAAATATATATATAACCTGAGTTCCGAGTCGTTTGTTTAAGGCTTCGTTCCACAAGTTAGAACCATATTCAGGCGCTATTTGGTTCCAAACAGTCATGACAGAAGCCACCTGCACCACCCAGCCATGTTTGTTAACAACAATAACAAGAAGTAACATGTAAATTTCATATCACAAAAACATACAGTAGCAGCTATCTATAACACAAAAGCCAAGTACCACAATTACTCACGTTTATCTACAAAATGCCTGTCATTTCTACTTCTTGTAACTTGTAAGTGCCATTGTTCCTATTCTTATCCCTCACCCTTCATCATCATCAACTTTCTAATTTCAATTGTCTAACATGATATCTCGTAGCGTAATTTCAACCTCACAAATGATCATACAGTACTTAAGTTTTTTACAGTAAAATAAAATTTATTTTCAGCTCTCACGAGACACTAATCCAATCAAATATTTACTGCTTCAGCACACATGCATAATTATGTAATTATATGGAACACGTGAATCAAAATAGCATGTTTCTAGCAGTCAAATGAATCTTCATGGATTCACTGACAACATCACACTAAGATTCAAAACAGCCCCATATGGATATCTAAATAGTGTTCAGTAAACCCTTCGGGGTGGCCCAGTGGTTTGGGCTTGGGACTTCCATGTTGGAGGTCTCTAGTTCGAAACCCCTTGCCAGCGAAAGCAAGGGGTTTGCTTCTGGGTCGAGCTCGTCGCACTGGGCTTGCCTAGTGCGGGTTACCTCTCCTATGTGGTTTGCGAGCTATTGCATAGGAGCAGGGGGTTTTACCCTGCGCGCACCCAAAGGATAGTGGCTGTGGGTTTCCCTTGTCATAAAAATAAATAAATAGTGTTCAGTACATGAAACCTGCAGCTATGAGACCTAAAATAGTTCGAGGCCTCTGTTATTTCAATATAACTCCCAAAGATTGCTCAATAGTCTGTGTATGAAATCAAAGCATTTCATCAAATTTCACTTCATGTGCCCAGCGAAATTACCGCATTAGCTGATCAACCAATATTCAGGTCTAAGTTAGCTGTTTGTTGTGATTATCTTTTTTATTTTTTGATAGGACATAGTTAGCCTAAGCAGAGATGACAATACTCGCAAACCAGAGGATTTACTAAGTAAGGGTATGTATGGACCACCTTCAAGATAATAGGTCAAACAAAAAAATGGCAAGACAAAAATAGCATGCACTACCAGATGAGCATCCACGGGTGGTGGGTAATTTCCATCAATTGTGTCTATCCAGCTAAATATTAGGTTGTGGTAACCATAAGATTTTCCTGCCATGCTTCGTGCATATTCCCAAGCAGCAGTCTCGTTAAACTTGGCTCGGAGATCAGGGTGCAAAGGCAGCACTGCAATATGTGGATTGGTGTTGTCTTTTGTCAGCTCAAACTCCCACCATTCATCCCATGGTAATATAGCAATCACATCTTCTCCCTTGAATGGAAGCACAAAGAACAACATTGGTGCAAAAATTAGTCATTTAACAATGAAATTTACTGGGAATTATGAATTTGAATTCTCAATGTTTGTAAATTCCTGTCTGGATGATTGTTAATTTTGTAAGATAACGTGCTAAACTACAGGAAGAGAAGCAAATGTGATGTTAATCAATAACATTTTAACACTATTAAAGACTAGAGGAACACAAGATTTTGGGAACAACGAGTTAAACATCATCAGAAAAATATAATTTAAAAATTCCAGCTGTGTCATCCTTCTTCTTTTTTGGGTTGGTTGGGAGCAATTTCCAAGGAATAACATCATGTGGAAACAAAATAGTTAAACCACCACCTTGTCATTATTATTTCCAGATTCGCCAACCCATAGTTTTCCTTCAGCGTCTCTCAAGCAAACAGCAGTATGGCCTGCATAAGAACCTGTTGCCCATTTCTCTAAAGTCTCAAAAGCGCCCCAGGTACCTCTAATTTTTGATATAGCAAGAAAATCTCCAGAATGAATGTCATCAGTTGTAAGGTTTGTGACCCACGGCTGTGGACGTTCTTCAAATGAAGCACCCATATGTTTCTCTAGAAAATCAATATTTGACTTCTCGCCCCATCCATTATTGACGAACAAGGGGAAAGCATTCCATATTGCTGAAAGGGTTCCTAACATTCCTGCTTGCAATAGGAAAATGGACACCCCTCTATTTTTTACCTGTTTCAATTTAGTTGATCCATTAAACTATAACAAATGTACGCTTAGATCAATGACCAATGAGAATCATTTATGAAACGCTGGTGACTCACATATTCTAACTCAGCTTCAGACTTCCACTCTTTGATTTCAAGGGTATGTTCACGAGACAAAAAGTAGTAATCCCATGTTACACGATATGGGGTTGCAAAGATGTAAAGGTCCAAACATGTCCAACTGTGTGCATTGCTCACCTACATAATATTGTAACAGAAATACAAATATAAATATAAGAAGTACAAAACCTCAGTGTGATCAAGCATTGACACTAAAATCGGAACACTTTCCATCCAAGCATTAAAAAGAAACATGCCATACTAATAATGTATACAGATTTTGCATTCCAAAACATTTGCATTCTAAATATAGAAGAAAAATCATTCATTACATGAAGTCCAGTAACATCTGCATTTGCAACTTCTCCAAGCTCAAGATGGTTGCCACTAAATACGGGCAACATATAATGAACGCAAAGTGTCTAAAGGATGGGTTTTGCAAAAAGATACCTCTTGTCCATAAGCATTCAGTAAGTACTGAATTATATTAGTGGGATAAAACTCAACGTTTGTTGCTTGCCATGAAGAGAAGTAGAGCAAAGGATCAAGATTAGTTTAACTTCCATAAAATGTTTCCATCAATCTGGTAACTAAATCAATAGATATCTAACAAAAAAAAGGAACTTTCAGAGAAGCTCCAAGGACTCATTAAGCTAACTAATTCCAGGAATCACCTAAAGATTAAGGGCAGCCCAATCCTCCAAGCTCCCACTATCTACGGAGGTCTACTGTACACAACCTTAATGCATGCATGACCTCCTAATCCCATGACAACTTCCACCACTGTTTCAAAGGCTCCCAAAAGATCAACACAAAAAAATGCTAAACAAGGGGAAAACAATTTCACAATTCACGACCCAATTAACAATGAATAGCTTTGAATTAGGCCCAACATCATTCCCAAACTCTACATATAATACACATGGACAAGAACTTCTATACAAGAAAAACAACTACAAGATACAGGAAAACAATATGAAATATGAAAAACAGCTATTGCAAGTTGTATGTTGCAGGGCCAGAGGTAGAGTATAGTATAAATATTCGACATAGTGCATAAATACATACTCAAATTTGACCTCAGCTGGCAAGATAAGCACTCCAACTTAGAATATGCACATCTACACACCTCAACTCGCCCTCCACTATATCAGTTGAACACTCCAAATTACAAAATAATCATCTAAACACCCCCAAAATTTATGTGACACATCAATATCAGGTGTCCACTAGACACAATACGAACGAATTGGAGTGTTTAGTTGTCCAACCAAGTTAAGGTGTCTACTTGATAGCCACTATGCCTAACCCAACCAATAACTAATAAGAGCTATGTGTTAAAAGTGTCATTTCAAAACTCATAAACTTCAAATCGCGACTCCGCATCTAGTCACTTTATTGAGCCACAACAGCACCAACACCCAAATAAAAAGAAAACAATACCAAAATTAGATTTGGGGAAAACCTTGATATGAAGGGTACCACCACCAAATTGACTTTTAGATTTGTTGTGAAGCTCCAACCAAGCAATATTCTTGAAAAAGCAAGCACCTTTCCACTCCAATGTATTATTCCCTTCAATTGAAGCAGCACCCATAAAAGCAGGCAACAGGTCCACAGCACTGTGAAGAGAATTGACAATAGGCCAAGATACCTGTCTTGGTAACAGAGGCAGAATATCTTTTGGATGAAATAGTGATTCATACCCATTTATCTGCCGCCATGGACAGAAACAACAGAGGAACAATACTGTGATTAACAAGCAGTGATTTTTCAAGTTTACAGCCATGGATGAAGCTTCTTTGTTTTGGGAGTGTCAGCTTAAAAAGACAATTTTTTTAATTTTAATAATGGTGATATTGAGATCAATGATAAAAGTTGTTGATTGATACAATTTCAGATTATTCAGTGAATATTCTGTTTGACAAGAAGAAATAATACAGATAGAGAGCTGATTGATTTTGTTTTCTACACAAATACAAATAAATCACAATTGACTGGAGAGAGTTCTTGTGAAAAATATTTTTCAAACAAATATAAATGAAAGTTAATGTGAAAAAATAATTCTTTTTCTACCCGATATTCGTATTTAAGTTAGATTATTCTAAATTAGCATCTTATAAAATTCCGTTCAAAAAAGCGGGGATCCCAATCAAGATTTTGTTCATAATAAAAACTCAAACTCAAAATCTAACTCATTCTACGCACCACATTCATTAATAATAAAAAAAATAGTTTTAACACAGTGAGATTGAGCTCAGGGAATATGCCGAAATGGTAATCTGATTTATCAAAAAAAAAAAAAAAGTGGGTCAACGGGACCACCACTGAATATGCAATTAATAGTTTTCAAATAATTTAAGTTTAATTAAGTATTTACTTATAAAATCTTCAAATTTTCTAAAATGAGATTTATATAGTAATTGTAAAATAAGTAAAAAGTAATATATGTTACAATAATTAATAAATTCAAAATATTTAAAAAATATATGAAAAATTTACAGTAAAAAATAAACTTGTTTGAATCTTAAAATAAAAAATGTGTCACATAAATTGAGATAGAATGTGTAATAAATTCTAACTTTTTATAAATACATATTTATGACATAATTTTCAAAAAATTCATTGGTCAATAATAAAAATACTTAGTTACTATTTAATATAATTTTTTACATAATATAGATAGTCTCTTAATGTGGAGTATAGTCTTAACATGAAGTTTTTCTTTTAAAAAAAAAATCATAACTTATGAATTCATTTTTACATTTACAAAATTTGGAAATTAAGATTTGAAATTTCAAATTATCACCTTTTTTTTTTTGAATAAATTGAAATTATAATCATAATCTCAAATCATATGCCAAACACAATGTAAATTTTTATAAATATATTTTTCACTTATTCATAATTAAGTGATTTGACTTTTCATTTTAATTTTTACTCCCTCTCCACTTTTATTTGTGGATCTACTATAGTAAAAAAATAAATATATGTTTACTATTTTTAAATTTGAAAAGCTAAAAGATAATTTATTATTTTATACATAAAAGATAGAGAGCTGATTGATTTTGTTTTCTACACAAATACAAATAAATCACAATTGACTGGAGAGAGTTCTTGTGAAAAATATTTTTCAAACAAATATAAATGGAAGTTAATGTGAAAAAATAGTTTTTTTTCTACCCGATATTCGTATTGAAGCTAGATTATTTTGAATTAGCATCTTATAAAATTCCGTTCAAAAAAGCGGGGCTCCCAATCAAGATTTTGTTCATAATAAAAACTCAAACTCAAAATCTCGAAAAGAACTCTCATTCTACGCAGCACATTCATTAATTATAAAAAAAATAGTTTTAACACAGTGAGATTGAGCTTAGGGAATATGCCAAAATGGTAATCTGATTTATCCAAAAAAAAAAAAAGGTGGGTCAACGGGACCACCACTGAATATGCAATTAATAGTTAAATGACTTATAATATTTAATAGTAGTATAGTAAAATTAATATTTTATTTATTATTTTTTTTTAAAAATGTGTTTAGTTAAATCTAAACAAATAAACATGAATGGAGGGAATAAACTTCAATAGTTTGATATAAATATTTGATACAAAAAGTATTTATCGTGATATAATATATCGCCCACTCCCTATCCCATTATTTTTTTTTTTGGCATAATACATAAATTGGACCCTAAACTTGGCTTCAAATTTTAAGTATGACCTCTAACTTTTATAGTGCACAAGTAGACACTTTAACTATCCAATTCTTAAATAAAAAAACACACGAATCCAATAGCCAAATTGTGTGATATACAAACGCTCGTACGTGGCTGCCACGTAATTAAGAAATTACACGTATTTTATAATTAAAAAAAGAAGAAATTAAAATACAAAAGGGTAGGGTCGTATTTTCTTTTCCCAATTTGCTCGATTTTCACTCAACATCACCGGAGCCCTAGCCCTAATTTCTTTGCAAATCAAAGTAAAATTGTGAAGATTTGTGGTCAAAGTTCTTATCTTTTGGATGTTTATGTGTTGTTCTTCCTCAATTTAGTCTAGTTATGTTAATTTTTGCTTTTTGAAAGTTTATTTTTGGTAGAAGCTGTCACCATGAATGTAAATTCACTTTTTTTTATACCCGAATTATTTGCAGACCAAGAAATCTTCATTATAGCTCTTTTTACACAATGACAAAAAAAATTAGAAGCCATTACATAAAAAACGACCAGAAATTGTGCACAAAAAGAGAAAAAAAGCTTGAGTACTAGAATTAGGAAGAAGAAGAAGAAGAAAAATGGGATTTTGATTTGAAAAAAATAAAGATATATTTAAAAGGGATTCATTAAGGGTAAAATTGTCATTTCCGCTTTTTTTTTTTTTTACCGTTGTGGGCCTCGAAAAATACCCCTGGTGCGCCTGAATTGCGTCTCAATCACGCGTTATGCCAGGTTGGATTCGCGTGTTTTTTTGTTTAAGAATTGGATAGTTGAAGTGCCTACTTGTGCACTTTGAAAGTTAGAGATCATACTTAAAATTCGAAGCCAAGTTTATGGTCCAATTTATGTATTATACTTTTTTTTTAACGACCTATTTGTTACGTTGAGGTATAATACATAGTCTTTTAATTAACTTGTTCAATTTCCACTTAAGAATTAATATATATACTGAATATTTTACTCACAGACGTAATGAAATAGTTTGAAGTCAAAATTAATGCATCCAAAGATTATAGTTTTAATTAACACGTAATGATTAGTGTACCAATCAAACCCATCAAATAAGTAGTTGTTTACAAATTTTATCTTGTTTTTCTTTTTCCAATTGGTGTCATGTCCGAATTTGTTTGTCATCCTGATTCATTTGAATTTATGACGCGTGATCAGTGGCGGATCCAGAATTTAGAGTTCGTGGGTGCCAAATAGACTTATCGATTAAATTAATTTTATATTTGATTACATTATTAGTCTTTTCGATATATATCACAAATCAATCAATAAAATATAAATAATAAGATATTACAAATCCACACTCCACACTAAAAGCATGAAGTTAACAAATTTAAAACTTTCAATAATATTACTAATATTATAAATATTCATCATTCATATACAATTGTCCTCGACAAGTTTTCATATTCTGAAAACGATCGATAATAACATCATTACTAACATTTATAAATACATCACGCTCTATATAACACACTATACAATCATTTAACTATTGATTACCAATACTATTCCGCACTTCATTTTTTATGTGCTTCATTGACGAAAATGCTCTTTCCACAGTTGCCGTAGCAACAGGTAAAATCAAAGTCAACTTTACAAGTAAATAAACAAGTGAAAAGTCAAAGGAGTAATAATGTAATTAATTTAATTTAAGTTATAAAAAATATAAAATAATGTGCCAGCTGTTTTTCCTTTAAAAAAGGTGCCTGGAGCCTTTATTTTTCTTAAAAAATGTCTGCAGCAAAATTCTCAAAAAAATAGATACAAATGGGATTCGAACCCATAACATCAACCTTCTAAAGTTGCCCTCCTACCATGACACCACAAGCCAGTTTTGTTCTCTAGGTAGCATGCTTTATATTTATATAAATATTATATATATATATACCTATGTATATATAGAGTTTCCGTCGAAGTTCGGGGGTGGCGTGGCACCCCCACACCCCTTCATAGATCCGCCCTTGTGCGTGATTAAAGATTGAAACGTTCTCTATATATTATTTTATTTAGAATCTTAATTTTTGAGACTTATGATTAACAATACAAAGCTCTTGTAATCACATCACACATGGTAGTAAGATTATCTAGTACGTAATTAGCATTGACAACAAGTTGTATCTCTTCTTCAGATAAAATTTTCTTGATTTCTCGTACAGTGTTCAATATTTATATTGGAGTTTAAACTAATTCAAAGTCACACCACACAACTCATCTAAGGAGGAAACATTCCCTAACAAAGGAATTTTATATCCAAAACTCAAACTTAACCTTTAATTTAAGACGAAGAAATTTCAGCTATTCCACCACGATATTTAATGGCGGTCCACAAGTAATAATAAATACGTGCGTGAAAGGTCTACCAATATAAAACAACTCAAATTAAAGGAATTTATGTTGTATTTTCCGTATAGTTCTTTTTTTATTGGCAAAATTTTGTGCAACACAAAATAACTCTCAATACTGCTGGCCTTATCTAGTCCCACGCATCTCTTATTTAGACCATATAATAAAAATTCTCATTTGTTTCTTTCATAAAGAGCTTTTTCTTTTCTGAAAAATAAAATAAAATTAGTAGTAACCAAAAACTTCTAGCTCCCAATTTTGAACCACAAATCAATTGGACTATAATATATATTGGATATAGATAATATACCTCTAATAATACTATATGGTATTTTTCTTGGCATTTTGATTGCACATCCAACCTAAAAGTTCCTTCAATATGTCTTCCATTCTACCTCAAAACCATGCCATTAGATCCTCACAACGAGCCCTCGATAAAATTGGAACGATACAGAGAAGATCCAGTACAAATCGAGCTAAGAACACCTCCCGCCAAGTTCTCCTACCTGCACGAGTCTATTGTATCTCTTCCTCCTCCTCTTCCTCGTCCAACATTGCCACAATCACCACCAAACGAACATCCGTCTCAGAACCACTAACTCATGACCCACTCACTCCCATCACAAAAATCAAGACTAGTAATAATACGAGAAGTGTACTAAATGACCCGAGTTTAAAATCCACGTGGGCACATCGAGCCTGGATGGCGAGTGGGTGCACCACCGTGCTAATTCCCTTAGCACGGTCTGCAGCAGGGGCACTCGACTCACATATGTGGGCCGGGCCCCTTATAGCAGGCTTCATTGGCTACATCCTATCGGACTTAGCTTCCGGAATCTACCATTGGGGAATTGACAATTACGGCAGCGCCAAAACCCCTGTTTTCGGAGCCCAAATCGATGCATTTCAAGGTCACCATAAATGGCCATGGACAATCACCCGACGCGAATTCTCTAACAATCTCCATTCCTTAGCACGCGCAGTGACATTCACTGTCCTCCCAATCGATCTCTTCTGCAAAGATCCAACTACTCTGGCATTCGTTGGGGTTTGTTCAGGTTGCATTATGTTCAGCCAACAGTTCCATTCATGGGCTCATGGCACGAAAAGTAAGTTGCCTTCAATGGTGTTAGCATTACAAGACGCTGGAATACTCGTATCGAGGGAACAACACGCTGCTCATCATCGCGTTCCATATAACAACAATTACTGCATTGTTAGTGGAATATGGAACTCGATTTTGGATGAATCGAAGTTTTTTGAGCTGCTGGAGATGATTTTCTTCTTTAAATTCGGAGTCCGGCCTAGATCATGGAGTGAACCAAATTCAGAATGGATTGAAGAAACTGAAATACAATCAATTCCTGCTTCACATTGAATTCAATTACAGTATATTAAGCTATATGTAACTGTTAATTAATATACAATGATTGATGTACCTTTAATTTTATTTTTTCCGATTAGTATTGGAATGTTATTGATATTCAAATTGAATGTCGCAAACTCAGGTAGTCGACACTAGCTTGATAATAGTAATATATGTAACTATTTCAACTCCAGCCAAATTACTTAATAATGGAATTTAGATTGAAACTATCAATAAAAATAAGTCATCTATGCTCTACTTGTTTTTTTATGTAGTAGTATTCTTTTTTATATTCATAATATAATTTTTCAACCAAAGAGATTTGAGTGACCATTCTTGAGTCAATATAGCTAAAGTTTTCACTTCATTAGGTTTCTGTAATGTCTTATAAGTATAACAAATCAAGGCTTCTCAAAGCACCCGCGACTCCTCTTTTTGAATACCACTCACTTTCCTAAGTGAGTTCTTTTTTAAGGAATTTAAGATTCTTTAAAGAGAGACGAATTTAAGATTTAAATATGTGGTCAAGGTGCTCCTCAAGCAGTTTACATCCTCCACTTTCAACTAATTCTTCACTTTCAACTATAAGGTTGTAAGTTCGAGTTATAGAAAAAAAGGAAACAAAGGGATATAGGGTTTCTCTGCTTTTGGCATAGCGGCCTCCACTAGGAGGCTCGCACGACCAGCTATTAGCTCAGTAGTAGAGTGCGCCGTTGATAATTGTCTTGTTGTGAGGGACTCCCAAGAAGGATTGAAATAAAAAGGTATTTTAAAAAAAAGGACCACAAGTGATAGAATTGTGAATTGATCACCGAAAAGTTTTACATGTTTTTCTTTCATACAAATATAATTATTATAGTAAATTAACAACAATCATCAAAGTGGCGCAGCGGAAGCGTGGTGGGCCCATAACCCACAGGTCCCAGGATCGAAACCTGGCTTTGATATAAAATATTTTACATATTTTTTTGGTCTAATTGGTTATCAAATATTCAAATTATCAGTTTTATCGTATAATTTTCAGAAGATTAGCTAAAATTATAGTTCACAACTTGAATCAAAAGATTACTATATTACTGAATGCTGAGTATACATAAGACACAATCTACAATAGATATTGTCGGACTCTGGAATTATGTTTTCGATTCCTATAGGTAGATAGGTTGTTTCCGAAGGACCTTCAGTTCAAATGCAACATATCAAAATAATTATGAAAAAAAAAATGATAGTGAAAAAAAATGCAACTACGAATAATTAAGGAGAGCAGTGCAGAACATTCATAAAATAATAGTAACAATAATAATAAAATAATGCGATAATCGAAACATAAAATGACATATGTAATTTGGTGCTCCTATGTCATGAGCATCACCTCCTCCTTCCCACTCCCTCTAAAAAACAAGGAGTAAAAATAAAAGGAGGTACCTCAACCTGGTCAACACAGTCATGGTAATCAGTTAAATAATCAACTTGAAGTATGAACAAAATCTTAAAAAGGCATAATACACAAATACATACTCAAATTTAACTTCAGATGACAAGTAAGCATTTTGATTCAGAGAGTGTGTATCTAAACACCTCAACTTTGTTTCAACTTATAAGTAAACACTCCAACTTGTTCATCTTATGGATACTCGATGTTGACATGACGCAAAAAATTTGGAGACGTCTGAATGATCATTTTATAAATTGGAATGTTTAACTTATACAATAAAGATGAGTTGGAGGAGGATATGAGGAAGAAAATATCTTCATATCAATATATAACAATTTCTTGATGAGACATTTCTCAGATAGAGGCAAAGGAGGATATGAGGAAATTTGCTACACTTAATCCAAGTATCCAACCGGACTATCAGAGACTTGTTTCATTGTGTCTATTTCTCCATTTCTGCTATGCATGTCGAACCACGATATGACCTGACAAGTATGTGCATCACCTACTTACGCTAAATGAACCAAGTAACGAGGGTCGTTTATGGCCAATACCTATATGGACTACTGGACTTAATGGTGGCCCAAATGAAGATCAAAGTTGGCCCAATAAAATGATACTATATCTGGCCCAAATTAGGTACAAAAGTAGCCGCAACAGTTGACCAAATTGTGACCCAAAGGAAGCCCAACATCAGCCACAAAACATAACCCAATTGAGGCCCAAATAAATTGCAATTTTGGTCCAAATTTCTTGACCCATTTGGCCCAAAACATCGGCCCAACTAGAGAGGTTGTTTCCAAAAAATTATCGACTCAAGTGCAACAAATCCAAAAGAAGAAAACAGAGTAGAACGGAACAAAATAATGTCAATTAATATGTGTTTCATAGTAAAATACTCAAATTAATTAATATTTCTTAAGAGGTGTGTAAAGTCCAAAATGAACAAGTGAAAGTATCGATAACTCTAAATTGATCTTATATTCTTAGAAAACACACTTTTTCTTTTTTCTACTTATTAGTAACTTGAAAAAAATAATGTCTAATGAATCATTTTTTATACCTTCCTCACAAAGTAATGATAATTGTTTCTCTCCTTTGGTGATGGAATTCATCTTCTCATTTTAAAGTAGAGTTTATAGCAAATTTCCTTGTAATTACTCATTTCATTATAATTTCTCATCTTACTTTCTTTTTAGTTCATTTGAAAGAGTATGTCTCTTTCTCCGATTGACAACTCTTTAGTTCTAAATTTCTGTCTAACATGTTTAAAACCACGACATTAGATGACATTTTGATACATTCTACATATCTTTATAGGTCTTGATACATCCTATTTAGCTCGGGTGTCCAGTGAGACACAATGGGTACGAGTTAAGATGTCTACATATATATTTTCAAAGTTGAATTGTTTAATTATTAGTCGAGACCAAGTTGACGTGTCTATGTATTATGGCTTTTAAAATCTTATCAAATACTTTTCTGTTATGAAAATGAGGCTATAGTGTACCTTTGCTTGTTTGTTTTCAACTTTTGGCATGTCCAGCTAAAAGTTACAAATGCAGCTATGTTAAGTTTTGCCTACAAATAGAATTTTGAGCTCACCATATTTGCTTGTTTTTCTCACACAGTACTGAAAAAAATAGTACAGCCTAAAAAAAATTCAGAAACTTTGTCTCATTCTTTTAGTGTGATTCAATACACAAGAATGGATTGTTTTGTCCTACTACATTCTTGAAAACCCTGATGTAAAAAGAGGTAAAATAGACAGTTTTTTTTTTTTCAAAATCAAGAATGGTGGATTCTTCAGAATTTGGAATCATGGAGGAAAGAGAGGAGGTTATGGTTTCATCTGTTGATGAAGAAGTAAAACCCATTTTTAGAGTAGCTCATTTTCTTAAACCAACAGCCAAAAAACTCCCTTTTCTCCCTTCAAGACTCAAAATTTCTTGTTCATCACTAAAAGTTCAGTTTAGGGGTGGTTTTTCATATATGAAGGGATGGTCTAAATGGGTTAATGAGTTAAAGCCTTTACACCAAGAGATATGGAAGAAAGCTGGAATCTTTGAAGGTATTATAGCTTCAACATTTAAGATTTATAGGCATAGTGATTTGATTCTTGCTTTAGCTGAGAGATGGTGTTTGGAGACTAATACATTCATTTTACCATGGGGAGAAGCAGCTATTACTTTGGAAGATATGGTGGTTTTAGGTGGTTTCTCTGTTTTAGGACACTCTGTGTTGAAACCTGTTAAGACCAAAGATTCTGTTGACATTGAAAAAGCTCTTTGTGAGGTTCATAAATATATTAGAGCGCGTAAAACGAATGTTGGTTACCATGCTTGGATGGAGCATTTTGCTGGAAGAGGTGACCATTTGGAGCATGTTGCATTTTTGACCCTTTGGTTGTCAAGGTATGTGCTTCCTGCTAGAAGTTGTCTGTTTGTGGACAGAGCTCTTTTCCCTATTGCAATTTATCTTTCTCAAGGAATTCCAATAGCACTTGCCCCTGCTGTTTTAGCTAGTATTTATAGAGATATGAGCTTGCTTAAACAGTTGATTGTATCTTCAGCTAAGAACCATGCGCCAAGTGATTCTAGATGTATAGAAGATGAGTTGAATCCGAACCTTCGGGCTCCTTTTCAGTTTGTTCAGCTATGGGCTTGGGAGAGATTTACAAATTTGCAGCCTAAGCCTAGTAGTATCATTTACTCTGGGGAGCCAAGAGTAGCTAGATGGCATAAGGTGAAAAAACTAAATCATGTGGATCCTAGGAGTGGAATAGATTCCGCTGCTGAATGTTTTCTGTGGCGTCCTTATGCTGTTGATATTGTGAAGAATTGGGATATCAGCAGATTTTACAAGGAGAGGGATGAATATGTGGTGGTTGGACCAAATATGGGAAGAGAAATCATGGCTTTTGCTCGACTTGTTCGAGCTTCTGAACTAGTTGGAATGGATTGTGTTGAACAGTATAATCCACATAGAGTATCAATGCAATTTGGTTATGATCAAGATGTGCCCGGTTGTGTGAATCATGCTAGTGATCATATCCCGAAAATTGCTTGGACTAATTATAACAGACCAATTAAAGATGTCAAGCTCTATATACCTTCTAGGTTCATCGAGTCAGATGTCAGCAGACGATACTTGGAATGGTGGAAGAACCAAAATGTTGCACCTGAGGTTGCAGTTCAGCACGAAAAGATGAATGCCATTGTATGTTGTGGTTTTTTGCAGAAATGTGAAATGATAGTTGTAGAATCATCATCAGATGATGACGATAATATTCCAATTTCTGTATCTTTACGCAAGAGGAAACTCATGAAGAAAGAAATTACTGTACCTGGTAATAATCAAGAACTCTTCCTTAACATGCAAAGTCAATCTTCTTCACCTTCGAATGATGGGACTGCCAAAGCAAGGGAGACTCTAGTGGAATCGAAACCAATAAGCGCCAAATTTGAGGCTTCAAATGGGAAATCGGATGAAGATGGAGATGGGCCATATGTAGTTAAGGAAATGGTGCCACAAGAGAGCAAGAATAACAATGACAAAGGTGGCCGCAAGTTCAACTTGCCTGATGGTATTGAACTTGCAAGTGACGGCCCAAATGCAGGACTTTTGAGTACTAATCCTGCTAAAACATTGCAAATGAGCGAAGCTTCAGTGGTAACACCGAAGGTAACAGCAACGAGTACCAACATAACTGAAGGAAATATGGCGATGGGAAACATTAACAACCATGAGAAAGGGAGCAGTAGATTTGAAATGAACGATATTCTGAAACTTGAGATGAGGATTAGAAACCTTGAAAACATCAATGCTGGAAAGGTTCCAATATTCAGGACAAAGTGAAAACAAGATTAAGCTAAACTATAGTGCTAATACTTCTCTTACTAAGTCTTTGTTTAGTTCATGAAGTTATATTTTCTTCTATATTGCCTAGTACTCAGAGATACTCAGACAGTGCTACTAGCTCGTTCTTCTATTTTGATCCTCTTGTAACTATCTCAGCTTTAGTAAAAAAAATTCACTTGAATTATGTTTCAGTTCACTTGTTTACTTTCCAGGTTTCTAACTGTTTTGCATATTAACAATCTTGCATAGTTCTCATTTAGCTCTATGAAGCGTTTGTGGCTGTTGCGAATACAAAGTCAAGATTACAGATATGATCACTAGCATGTTTTTGTTCCCACACTATCAAGTTACTCTGAACTCGGAGATTCTTTTTTATTTCTCTCCCCCGTTGAATTAAAAACCAAGTCGAGTGACAAACATCTTCTTTTAATAGGAGAAATACTAAACAGGAGCACACTACTCCTCCACAAATTTTTGTTTTTGTTTAGCTATCCGATATCCCTAACCCACAGGCTAGACTAATCTGGATTTGTGCCAGGGATAAAAGGCTACTTATCCAGAAGTTCACCTCTCTCCTCTCCATTTTCAGGACTTGAACTCGAAGCCTTTTATTAAGGATAGAGAAGTTCCAACCATCCCAATACTCCCGATGGTTACTCGTCCTACATTTAGACTCTTTTGAAAGCACACAACAAGAATCTAACCAACTTTTAAGGACTGAGCTTGTTACTGTAATTCTTGCAAGTTCGTTATCCACTATTTTGTTGTTGTTCTTGTTGTTCCTTTTGTACTTTGGTGCTGTTGAACTGCGCTCTCTCGGAAACAACCTCTCCACTTCCTCTCTACCTCTGGAACCACTTGTGAGATTTCATTGATATATTCTTGTGAAATTTACAATTACCATAATATCAAATGCCAGAGAATTCAATTTTTTTTCTCTTCAACTCGGAGCCCTTTGAACTAGATCGATCTTCATCAATTCAATTTCCAATTTCTGCATGATCTTTGGTAATATATGACTTTTTTTAAATATATGTTCTTGTGTCATTTGGTTCATTTAATTTTGATACAAATATATACTGTTGATTAATTGATTGATTCGGATGATTGCCATCCACTTAAGCCTCATTGGACAGTGTTACTGGATACATGTGCGTATTGGAGGTAGTCAGTACCCGGTGCATTATTAATCGAGATGGTACAATTTGACCTGGACACTGTCGTTATTAACAACATGTGCAATTATTGACTGTTTGAGAGTCTTAAAAAGACATTTCAAAAAAATTTATACTTCAAACAAACTTAGCTGGCTTTGCCTGCTTTTTGTTTCAGCATTATTTTCTTGTGGACTTAATAGTCTTTCTCGGGCACTTCTCTACCTGAAGAATGAAAATGTAATGCCCTACTTATTATATGTTTCATAACTTTCATATTACAGGTTGTAGTATTTATTTGGTGGTCACGAGGACAAGGGAAGCTTTGCAACATTATCTCTTAGTCTCAATATATTTTGAAGCTAGGACATGGCAAAAAAAACATGTGTAAAGCGCCTTCATAAGGAATATGAACTGGTGCTTATGCTGTTCCCTTCCTTTCATTGTTAAGCTTCGGTATACGTAGCTTTCCCTAACTAAACCTGTTGATTTGTAAATATCTAAAGTGTGATCAGATATGATTTTATAAGATTAAATTGATCTTATAAAATCATATCTATTGAATAGGTTAGGATCCTTGATTCTCAAATCTACCAGAATCAAGGGATCTGATAGCTAGTTAGTCAGTTTTCTATACTATAAATATGTATCTCTATGGATGAATAAGATTGTACAATTTTGGTACCAAAACTTACATGGTATCAGAGCAAGGTTATTCTTATAACTAAAACAGCACTACTGCCAAGAAAATAGAAGCCAACGGCATCAATAGAAGTCGAGAGTTCTATTAACAATTTTGACAAGAGACAACAATGAAGCTGTGGTGTGATTTTTGCAAAAAATATGGGCACACTCGTGAGACTTGTTGGAATATCCATAGGAAACCGCCTAGCTGGAACAGAAAAATGGCAGACAACCATGGTCAGGCTCTTCAGTGTACCAGCAAAGAACCAGGGCTATGATCTTCTCTAGAAAGGCAACCTTTCACTAAGGAACAAGTAGAGTGGTTGCACAAATTTCTCCAAGTTCTCCAACCTCAACCTCAACTCCAAACCAGTAAATCTGATTTTTCTACTCCCACTTGTTCTTTTTCCCAAGTAGGTAATGTACTCTCCGTTTTTGTGAGTACATAATCAAGTGGTATAAGTCCTTGGATCATAGATTCAGGGGCTAGTGATCACATGACATGAAATTCCCATTTTTTTCAACTTACACTCCTTTAGCAGGAAATAAAAAAGTCAAAATTGCTGATGGTTCCCTCTCAGCAATTGCTGGAAAAGGGACAGTCAAACTAACCCCTCTTTTGACCCTTTTTGGTGTCCTTCATGTTCCAAAACTGTCTCATAATCTTTAGTCCATCAACAAATTGACTCAAAACATTAATTGTCGTGCTATCTTTGAAACTCTTGTTACCTCAGTTGTTTATGAATAAAAGTACATCCTCGTTCCAGTGTGAATTTTGTGAATTGGCTAAACACAGACGTTCATATTTTTCTTCCCAAAAATACAATGCCACAAAACCCTTTAAGTTAATCCATGGCGATGTTTGGAGACCTTCTAAGGTAGCAACTATAAATGGAAAAATGTGGTTTGTGAGTTTCATAGATGATCACACTAGACTAACTTGGGTGTACTTATTGAAAGACAAAAGTGAAGTAAAACATATATTTGAGGTTTTTTATGTTATGGTTGAAGCACAATTTCATGAGAAGATTCAAATATTTCGGAGTGATAATGGGAGAGAGTATTTTAATGATCATCTAGGCAATTTTTTCACTTCCAAGGGAATAGTACACCAAAGTTCATGTCCTAATACACCACAACAAAATGGAGTAGCTGAGAGAAAAAATAGGCATCTTATGGAGGTAACTAGAGCCTTAATATTCACAAGTGGAGTCCCTAAATTTCTTTGGGGAGAAGCTCTTTTTACATCCACTTATCTTAATAATAGGATGCCTTCCTGTGTTCTAGATTTAAAACCCCCTTTTAGTGTGTTCAAGACATACTTCCCTACTTCTAGATTGACCACTGATCTACCTTTCAGAGTCTTTGGGTGTAGTGTACTTGTTTATGTTCATGATCATAATAGGAGTAAACTTGATCCACGTGCTAAAAATGTGTTTATGTTGGCTATGCCTCTAGTCAAAAGGGATACAAGTGTTATGACCCAAATACTAGGAAGGTTATTGTCACAATGGATGTCACTTTTTTTGAATCTCAATTATTTTTTGGAACTCATCTTCAAGGGGAGAAACATAGTGAAGATTCAATGGATAGTAAGGATTCTCGCGACCTCACATGCGAGAAACAAAATGATCTACCTTTTATGATAGATACTGGAAATAGTACTTTTGGTAGTAACAACCTTGATAAGGTAAGAGATCCCAACTTATATAGTGAAAATAATGAAGTTGAGACAATAGAGTCTTTTCATGATACAATTAATGACAAGGACATGGATCAAACAAAGGAATTGCAGGTTTATATGAGAAGAAACCGAAATCAAGAAAAAGAGACTAAGGACGCTCAGCAGAACCAAAAGTCAAGATCTTACTGATATACAAGGTAGTTCTCCAAAATCTAATTTTGATTTGCCCCTTGTTATTTTAGACCTTGATCTTCCAATTGCCAAACGTAAATGAGTAAGAAAAGTCACAAACCATCCCATGTCAAATTTTGTGTCATATAGAAACTTATCTCCTTCCTATATAGCTTTTCTTTCTCAATTATCTGGAGTGGATATATCGAGAAATGTGCAGGATGCTTTGAATGTTCCCAAGTGGAAAGAGGTAATTCTAGAGGAGATAAATGCTCTTAAGAGAAATGAAATCTGGGAAATGGTGGAACTACCACGTGGAAAGAAAACAATGGGTTGCAAGTAGGTGTTTACCATCAAATTTAAATATGATGGGTCCTTGGAGAGGTATAAGGCACGTTTGGTAGCAAAAGGGTTTACTCAGACCTATGGAATTGACTATCTTGAGACATTCGCTCCAATTGTCAACTTGAATTCAATCAGGATTCTTCTGACCATTGTTGCCAATCTTGATTGGCCCCTTCAACAACTGGATGTGAAGACTGTATTCTTAAATGGAAAACTCGAAGAAGAAGTCTACATGGATCCTCCTCCGGGTTTTGAAGAAAGGTATGGAACTGAAGTGTGCAAGCTAAAAAAATCTCTCTACGGGCTTAAACAATCTCCAGGAGCTTAGTTTGAGAGATTTACTCAATTTGTAAAAAAACAAAGGTACACTCAAGGGCAAGCAGATCACACCATGTTCATTTGACACTCTCTTAAGGGAAAGACAACTATCCTGATAGTGTATGTTGATGATATTATACTTATAGGAGATGACTTTCCCGGAATGAAAAATTTAAAGGCACAGTTGGCGTCGAATTTGAGATCAAAGATTTAGGTCAGTTGAAATATTTTCTTGGCATAGAAGTAGAAAGATCAAAAGAAGGCATTATGGTGTCACAAATGAAGTATGTACTAGATCTTCTAAATGAGACAGTCATGAGTGGTTGTCGTCCAGCTGAAACACCTATTGATCCGAATATTAAATTTGGAAACAAAGAAGGATATGTAGTTGACCAAAGTCAATATCAGAGACTAGTGGGGAAGTTGATCTACTTATCACACTCGACCTGATATAGCTTTGGCTGTAAGCTTAGTGAGTCAATTTATGCACTCTCCAAAAGAAGAGCACCAAGAAGTGGTCTACAGGATTCTAAGATATCTGAAAAGTTCACCAGGGAAAGGATTGGTTTTCAGAAAAGGTCAAGATAGAGGCATTGAAAGCTTTACAGATGCAGATTGGGCAGGTTCTACTATTGATATGAGGTCTACATCAGGATATTGTACTTTTATCTGGGTAATCTTGTGACTTGGAGGAGTAAAAAGCAGAATGTTGTAGCTCGTAGCAGTGCTGAAGCTCAATACCGATCTATGGCCCATGGGATCTGTGAAATGATTTGGCTCAAGAAGATGATGGATGAACTGAAAAAGTTGTTTGTGTTACTAATAAAGTTGTACTGTGACGACAAAGCCGCCATAAGTATTGCTCACAATCCAGTTCAACATGACAGAACAAAGCATGTTGAAGTGGACATGCACTTCATAAAAGAGAAGATTGAAGAAGGGACGTGTGCATGCCTTTCGTCACAACAAATCAGCAAATTGCGGATATTTTCACAAAAGGCTTGTTTAAACCAAAGTTTGAAATTCTTATAAGCAAGTTAGGCATGACAGATATTTACATGCCAACTTGAGGGGGAGTGTTGATTTGTAAATATCTAAAGTGTGATCATGTATGATTTTATAGGATTTAAATTGATCTTATAAAATCATATCTGATTTGCTATTGAATAGGTTAGGATCTTGATTCTCAAATCTGCCAAAATCAAGGGATCTGATAGCTTGTTAGTCAGTTTTCTATACTATAAATATGTATCTCTATGGATGAATAAGATGGTATAATTTTGGTACCAAAACTTACAAAACCAACCACAACTTTTTGAATATAGACACTCTCATGTGAGAAGGGGAGCCTTGGAATAACCGGTAAAATTATTGCCATGTGACCAGGAGGTCACGGGTTCAAGCCTTGAAAATAGCCTCTCGCAGGAATGCAACGTAAGACTACGTACAATTGACCCTTGTGATCAGGCCCTTCCTTGGACCCTGTTGCATAGCAGAAGCTTTAGTGCAGTGGACTGCCCTTTTAACATGACTCTCATGTGATATATAAAAGCCTTAGCTGGCCTTTGCAGTCCACGGGGAGCCCTCGTCCTGCGATGAGCAAAATTTGTGCATCCATATAGGTATGAATTTTAAGTCTTTCTGAATATTTTCACTTCACAGAACCCTTCTAATCTGAATTTTTTTTTTACAGTATCACGATTATTATTATTATTATTATTATTATTATGTATACGATGGTATACATAATTTTAGGGATTTGAATATCTAGTTAACGTAGTTAACTTATTTTATTCGTGTATCTATATCATTGTATCTTTGAGTAATGAGATAAATTACTCTCCGCACCTTGTCTATTATCTGGTATGAGAGCTAGGTCCATCTTCGTTTGTGCTTTCAATCCACGTTCCAGTTGGGTTTGGGCGTGAAGGAGTGTTAAGAGTCCCACATTTGTTGGGTAATAAACCGATGGTTTGCTTATATGAGTTTTGGACCTGTTTATTTGGACCAGTTGGGTAAGATGTTCCAAATGAAATTCCGACCCAAACGCTATCTGTTTGCTTGACCCGCCTTCCTTTTTAGTTCTTTTAAAAAAGTGATTCTTTCCCCTTTTTTAGCAATTTTTTAGTTTCAACTTTCCATATATCATGTTTCAAACAACAAAATTAATGGACACTTTAGTAAATTTGACGTATCTTTATTTTTATACCATAAGATCAAAAGTCTTCTTTATTTTCTTAAATTCTGTGCCAAGTCAAATTGGTCAAACAAATTGAAACTGAGAGATTACCTAGTATCTCAAGGTGTTATTTAGTGTCCATAAGATGTTTTGGCGTTTTGCGCGATTATGGAAAATGATTTATTTATTTTCAATATATATGAACTAGTGATTCTCCTAATATGAATAAATTTGTCAATTTAAAAGGAAATTCAATAATTGCTTTAGGTAACAAGTTCAAATCCTAAGCGCGATAGTACTCTGCTATTTTTTTTAATCCGCTTATATAAATTTGTCTCTGTCACTTCTTTACTAGTTTCTTAAGTGGCGATGGATGAGATGGATATAGACAAGGATCTAAGCTTTCGCGGTGAGAGTACTAATAATGTTTCAAGTTTTCTTAATGGGAATTTCAGGACGAAGATGGCGGCAGGCTCATTTTACATACCACGATCTGACAAAGCGCCTCTCGGGGAAGATGCACATTTTACCATAGGTGTAGCAGATGGCGTTGGTAGCTGGGCCAAAAAGGGAATCGATTCTGGAGAATATTCGAGACAGTTGGTTAGAAACGCTAAATTATCGATTCAGAAGCAGAAAGATCAAAGGAACAAAATTCACCCAGTGGAAGTTCTCAAAGAAGCTTATTTTAACACAAAATGTCAAGGTTCGTCAACAGCTTGTATTTTGACTTTAGCGTGTGATACTATACACGCGGTCAACGTTGGTGATAGTGGGTTTGTTGTTATAAGAGACGGGGACATAGTTTACAAATCAGAAATTCAACAAAAAGGATTCAATTATCCCTTTCAGTTAGGGAATGGTGTTAAATTAGATGATCCAAGTGTGGCACAAGAAATTAAAGCTACAGTAAGAATAGGGGATGTGATAGTGATGGCTACAGATGGATTGTTCGATAATGTTCACAACCATGAGTTGGAGAAATTAGTACACGACGGGCTAGTGGATTTGCGCAAACTGGAAACATTTTCGAAGATGTTAGCACAGAAGATTGCAGAATATGCCCTGCAGAAATCAGAAAGTAAAACTCTTTATACACCTTTTACTGAAGAATGCTCCAAAGCTAACAAATATCGTCCTGGTGGCAAGCGTGATGACATTACAGTGATTGTTGCCCATATTTTACCCCGATAGTTCTGTTTAGGGGTTTAAGGTGTAGGATTTATGATTTGTGCTTATCAATGATGTAAAATATGCCTGATCAAATTTGCTAAAATGAGTTTGGATGAACTTTCTTAGACTTTTTTTTTTTTGCTATTGATGCTCATAATCTTCTTGAGTTTAATTTTTTATTCGTGTGTGGTATATAACAGGGCACATCTTGATCGAATCAGAACATCAAAAATATTTGGTTACATTGTAAACAGTTCAATGCTTTGTTGCCCCTATGTAGATCAGAGTAGTCTACTGAGCAAACAGGCAAAAAACAAAGATTTATTGATCAATATGAAACAATAGTTAATCGTCGACACCTTGTCCTGGATGTTGTTTGGTCACTAAAGCCAAAGACTAAGGAGTTAACTGGGATGGATTGGATCGAACCTAGGAAACTCCTGGTCCTAGGGAGTGCTTCCCCTCTAACGAGCCCTACCCTACACAAATCTGGATTAGTCCAGCTAATGGAAGGTATCGCGATCATAGTATGTAATTGTACCGTATGTGCTTCCCCTGAATCATTGGTAATATGCAAACTCATTTTAGCGAACTTAGGCCTCCCTTTCGGTGGGAATTCCAAAGCTGAAGAAGATTCGGTGTGAGTTCCATTTGTTATGACCTCATCACATTACTGCACAAATTCACAACATACAGAGGCATTCAACATTTCGTAGTGTCCTCATGACAGTCTTGGTGTCCTTCCATGAGTTATAGACCATTTCCCTTGGTTACACGCTTAACTGCATCGTCTGATGCAACGTTTTGGTCCTTCCACCACTCCAAGTATCTCATGCTGACATCTCATGACTTTGAGAGCCTTCTGAGCATAATTAACACAACGTGGCACATCTTGATCGAATCAGAACGTTAGCTGCATTTTCCTGTCTTCCCCACCAAATACAGTATTTTTAAGCTGAGCTCATTGTGAAGCAAGGAAAGCCAATTGTTGGGTTTTAAAAGGTGTGAATGGAAAATGAAGATTAATGCACCACTTCTTCAGAATTCGATGCCTTGTTTTGCAAGATCGAATTGAGAATGTACCAGAAAAATTGGTGGTATTCCGGTTAAAGATTACACAATGTAACCTTCTTATTATTAGGAGAAAATTAGTTTCTAAAAGTTAATTCTTTTGATACCTATCATGTGTATCTTTGGAAAAGATTTACAAACCATATGTTTTGGAATGAATTTTCCTTGACAAATAGTGTTGCCTTTAAAATTCTTTAGTTTGCAGAATGAGAGATGCATAATTTGTTTGATAAAATAGTATGTCAAAATGTTATAGTTGGAAGGCTATTTGAAAAGAAAAGCATTTCTATGTGATAATCTAAGAATATGTTTTATTTTGTTTGGAGGAAAAAAAAGCTTTTATAGTTTTGTACTCCGTGTGAAATTTGATTTTGCCTGATTGTTGTAGACTAAAAACTTTTGTAGTTTTCTACTCTGGATAAATTGGACTATGCAATTGGTTTGAAGAATATGAAACTTTCACCTAATAAGTCAGTGTTGTACTTTTGATTTTCTACAAACTTCATTGTTAAATAGAAAAACAAAAGTTTTTATCTTTATTATTAGTATTCTAAATACTAAGTGGTATGTCTAATTGTGATAGAAGAAAGACCAGTGACTTAAAGTTTGTGATTTTGTGCCTGCAATAGGTGCCTCTATGGAATGAACTTTGACATTGTGTAAAGATTGTCAAAAGGATTTAACGCACTAAAATTCTTTTGTAGAATAATGTTTCCAAAAGAGGTTTCATATTGCTGATGACATTTTGATTGTATGGAAAAAAATATGTGGAAAAACTATTTTCAAATACTTGAAAAATATTTTTGAGATCATATTTGAAATGTGGGGGTTCTTTGCTTATGATAAAGATAAAATTAGACTTGGTGTCTAATTTAATTTTAGAGCAAAAGAAATGAAATTCAATGATACTTTTGTATTATGTTAGACCCACAAAATTCTTGGAGTATATTTGATATTGTGGTTGATGAGTTTCTCTTTTACTAGTATATGGTGTGACTAGTATGAAACTACCAAATTATATATATACTTGTTCAAAATAATTGTGTTCTTTATGAAAAAGTGTTACTTAAAATGTTTTGATTTTTCATGAAAAGATATGTCTATTAAATATAACTATTTGTATAGACATGAATATTGGTGAATAGTCAGTTGTCATGTTTTGTAAAAGAAGCATTTGGACTATGTTGCCTTTATTGGACCTAATAAAACTTTGTTCATGGGTAGTTCTATAACAATTAAATTGAAAGTTATGGAAATGTCCTTCCGAAAATGACATTTGACAAGGTGATGACTCTAAGCAATGTTTGTATCACACAAAATTGTAAGAAATAGGAACAAAATATTTGTGAGAAAAAACTACCTCGCGGAGAGCTTTTCAAACTCAATATTTTTATTTGTTCTTACTTGCTTGAGTCAAACTGTTTGTGACATGAACACTTAGGGCATGTCAATTACAAAACTCATGTTTGTGTGGAATCTAAGTTTGCTGAACATTCTTATAAATCTGTTGAAATGAATTCTAATCCATTAGAGTTGATTTTGAAAGGAATTCTAATCTATTAGAGTTGACTTACACTGACATTTGTGATATTAAGTCAACCCCATCTTATGGTGGGAAAAAGTATCTCAGAACTTTGATTGACAATTGCATTAGAAATTACTATGTCTATTTCTGAATGGTAAGGATGAAATAATAGAAATATCTAGACAATATAATTTTGAAGTTTAAAATCAGTTGGGAAAAAGATAAGAAGTGATAGGGATGGAAAATATAAATCTCCGTTTACAGAAATATGTTTGGAAAATGAATTTATCCATCAAACTACTGTCCTATTCACCTAAATCTAATGGAATTGCAGAATGAAAAAAAAAACGAACTTTGAAGAAAATGATGGTTGCATTACTTATTAGTTAAGGTTTACCACAAAACTTGTGTGGAGGAACTATCCTTACTGCAAAAGAGAACAACAAAAAGTTGTCTTTCCAAAAAGAAAGTAATTTTGTTTGTTCATGACACAATTTATTCTATATGATAAATGGAAAGGAAGGAAATCCAACTTGAAATATTTCAAAGTAAGGGGGTGTCTAGCCAAAGTCCAAGTTTCTATTGCTAAAAGGATTAAAATAGGACCTATGACTGTAAAATTAGACTTGAGTAGTCTAGTGAAGGGTCTAAAAGACCTTGGAAAGGAAAAAAAGAGAATGTACTTAATAAAGAGATTCAGAGGCGTTGTAAATGTCAAAGGACATCTACTTCCTTCGAATATGATTTTGTAACATTTCTTATGTCTTCTGTAGACTCATCCTTTTGGAAAGATGTTGTCAATAGTGAGATTGATGCAATCTTGAGCAACCATATTGGAAGTTAATTGATCTTCATCCAGAAAATAAACCTTTGGGTTCAAAGTGAATCTTCAGAAGGAAAATGAAAGTAGATGGAATTGTTGACAAATATAAAGCAAGACTTTTTGTAAAAGTCTTTAGACAAAAACAAGCTCTTGATCTTGTCGATATATACTCGTCAGTAACTAGAATTACATCTATTCGGATGTTAATATTATTAGCTGCGGTATATGACCTCCAAATTCTTCAAATGAATGTGAAAACAACTTCTTAAATGGAGAATTGGAGGAAGAAATTTACATGGAACAACCCAATGGTTTTGTTGTTCTTGGTAAAGAAAAGAAAGTGTGCGAACTTGTTACGTCACTTTATAGACTAAAACAAGCACCCAAACAATGACATAAGAAATTTTACCAAACCATGTTGGCAAATGGATATAAGAATGATGGAAGTGATAAATGTGTTTACATTAAAATCACACGGTCATTGTTTGTTTGTATATTGATGACATGTTGATCATCAGTATAAATGCTATTAAACGTATGCTAGAAAGCAAGTTTGATATGAAAGATCTTGGAGTTGCTGATGCGATCTTAGGTATTAGAATCCGTAGAACTCTATAATGTTTAGCATTGTCACGATCTTATTGCACTGAAAAGGTATTTGACTAGTTCAAATATTTGGATTTTAATATTGTCAAGACTCCAATAAATGTGAGCTTTGCATTTCAAAAGAGTGAAGGCAAAAGTTACTCACAATTGGATTGTGCTAGAATATTGGGAAGTATGATGTATACCATGAAGTGTACGCGATCAATTATAGCATGTGCTATTAATAATTTTAGTCGGTTCACAAGTGATCTCAATCGAACTCATTGGATGGCAATGAAAAGAGTTTTGGGGTATTTAAACATAATCAAAACTATGTCTTGCATTATAACAAATATCCAACAGTATTGAAAGGATATAGTGATGCAAATTGAATCACTGGGATCAAATGAAGTAAAATCCACAAGTGGTTATGTATTTACTTTTGGTGGAAGAGCAGTCTCTTGGAAATCTTCCAAAAAGACATGTATCGCTAGCTCTACAATGATCTCTGGGATAGGTGCTCTAGATAAGGCCGGTGAATAAGTTGAAAGACTCTAAAATTTCTTGATAGTTATTCTTTTTTGGTCCAAACCTTTGACATCAGTATGCATACACTTTGATAGTCAAGATGCAATAGGTAGGGCATGAAGTATGATGTATAACAGAAAGTCTCATCATATAAAAGATAGACATAATACCGTTAGAAAACAACTACTCTCTAGTGGAATTATCACAATTGACTATGTAAAGTCAAATGATAATGTGTCGGATCCACTTACAAAAAGGCCTAACTAGAGAGAAAGTTGAAAGATCATCTAAGGGAATTGGTTTACGACTTAGGACAAGTCATCATGGCGGTAAATCTATCTAGCAGACCGGAGATCCCAAGAACTAGATTCAAGGAGAAAAACAAAGTTGTGACTAACGGTTTGACATTGTCAATCAGCTCAATCCATTCTCATGATGAAGACAATGTTCAGGAATGAGGTTAAAACATTAAGGCTTGTTAATGAGTTA